GTATATTTCAAGTACAGTAAAACCTGTCAAGGCAGCTACTCGGGTAAGGCGACCACCTGTCCTAGAAGACCACTGCAACCAGGACCAATTGATGCTATTTCCAGTCAATTGACCCTGGATAAGGCGACCACCTGGTAACAGAGACCACATTTTGAAGGTCCCTTGAGTGGTCGTGTTAGACTGGTTTCACTGTACAGATGGGCTTCGAAGGCATACTCCTATACAAGTACTTAAATTCTACTTAAACTCATTAGGCATTTCTCTAAATGTCAACATGCAAGCCAAGCATACAGTAAGAACACAGCTACAGTACGCCCCGGACTTGGTTGTAGCATTGATGTGTGTCCACTGTATTCCTTGCTCTGTTCTCCAGACATTCAGCACTCCACACAGTCTGAGTATGCATGGACACTAGGTAAACCCTAAAGCATATGTGCCAGAGGTACCATTTTGCAAATCATGCTAGTACTAGTATTCATTGCAAGCTTACATGTGAGACACACTTTTATACAAGAAAGTAGTGTAAGAGTAGAATGTACCCTTGTTTTTTGAACTGTAAGAGCTAATGTACTCTTGCTTTACTTGTTGTACTCTGTGCATGCAGTGTACATCACTTTCTGTGTTCATATCAGTGTTGTCTGATGATTGTACTGACCATGAATTACAGACTAGCAACAAACTGACCATGCTCCACTGTTGTATATGTACTGGGTACTACTCTCTGCCTGTAGGTATTTAGAAAGAAGAATACGACAACAAGCTCTCCCTTACCATAACACGTCCATTGCCAGCATCTGCGACTAGTACATTGCCGTAGGCATCTGTAGTGACATCATACGGTTCCTGCAGCTGACCAAAAGCGCTGCCCTGAGACCCGAACGAAGTGATATACTCTCCATCGACGGTCATCACCTATTGCAGGAATAAATAAAATTGAACATTCACACACACCACTGTGGTGACAGCCAGAGTATAGATATAACAGGAGTGTAAGAATAATACTCCAACACACAGTGCATAGCTACTATCATTATGACTGTAATGATGATAAGGTTACTGGTGTGCAACTGTAAAAACTCAAAACCTGAGGTAAAACATGGACCTGGCACCAACATTTGATTACTATGTATGTATTTATTGTAGCACAGACACTGTTTGGTTTGTGACATGATGTATAGACATGATGTTTACGAGTCTAACTTCACATCAGCCTATAAACTCTTACACTGAAAAGGACAAGTAACAGGCAAACATGGCCAACAAGCACTTGCATAACGTACACATTCATTTCTGATTGGATGAACATTTGCAGATTTTCTGAGTCAAACCTTCTACTTGCTGATCATGGGCTCTGGACAGCAGTCATGAGTCAGTCAAGTGTCAAGTCAATCAGAATGAAGTGTAAGCACCAAAGGTTGGAACAGCCAACTATAAATACCTGTCCAAACAATATAAAGCTGAACTTGCTACTGCTTCCATTGCTGCTGCTGCTGAAGTAGTAGTAGTAGTAGTTGCTGTTATTGTGGTTGTTGTTGCTGTTGTCGTTGTCGTTGTCGTCGTCGTTGTCGTCGTTGTTGTTGTTGTTGTTGTTGTTGTTGTTGTTGTTGTTGTTGTTGTTGTTGTTGTTGATTTTTTGTTGTTGTTGTTGCTGTCGCCGTCGTCTCTGTCGTCATCTTCGTTATTGCTTTCGTTGTCATTGCGGTTGTTGTCGTATTCTACATCATTGTTGACGTTGTTGCCAGCTGAACATGATAACATACCTGGATGCGATGGTTGTCCTCGTCAGCAACAAACAACCTGTTGAGGTACACTGTGATGCCTCTTGGATCTTGAAATTGGCCTTGACCACTACCTTCTGTTCCAAACGCATATCCTGTCTCACCACTGCAGGGCACAATCTGTACAGTACCAGTGTACATAGAAGAATATACACCTGTGAGTTGTTGTCTGATGATCGATTAAAACCGTGAAACTCAGAGTTACAGCTTAAACGCTTTTGATTCCTTTCAAGTGTGTGTGTAAACCTGTGAGGTATGTAATTCATTTGCGCACAACTTACAACTAGATTTGGTGGTTGGGCTGTGACAGAGCTTTATGAAGCTTTCTAAAACAAAAACAAGTAGTGATGTACCGGTATGCCAATGGAACACACATGCATGTACATACATACACACGCTCACGCGCACACACACACACACACACATGCACACACAAACACACACACACACATCTACACACACACTACACAGACACACACACGCGCGTGCACACACACACACACACACACAAATGCACACACACATGCTCGCACATACACACAGGGCACACGCACAAACACACACACAATCGTGTACGCACCCTAAAGCTCCCCCCCCTCACACACACGCAAACACAAGCCAAATGGACCCGCCCACCCACACGCAAACGGCTCCACCCACCCACATCACACCAATGCCCCCGACCTGCATACCAATGCGCCTGTCCTTTTACATGCTCATTTCCAAAGCTTGAATGGCGAGGGAATCAAAGGCATCTTGAGATGACCGATTGGCTATCGAACCATCCAACGGCAGATATACTGAAATCGACTACCTCTGGGTGGACTTGGAAATTATTCCACTTATAGGCTCACCACACATGTGTGAGTGGTTTAGGACAAGGTGCAGAAAAGGGTTTAACAGCACTTACCCCCCCCCCCCCCCGTGAACGTAATACTGTAATACATGTATAGTAGATGGCAACACACGCAGTCACAATCTGGCTTTAGAGCACCCACCAACAGAACTAGCTGACACACCCATTAAACATGCACTCACCCCCCCCCCCCCTCCCAACACACACACACACATGCATGCTTACCAATGCACTGTACTGTGTTAAGAATATATGCTTGACCTGCTGTTACATAATTGAAAACAGTCCCACAACTTGATGCTGAACAGTGATATAGGCTAGTTCTATCTTTATGTATACCACAGTACACTGTTAGTGGGTAGGAGAGGGATTTTACACAATACAACTGTACATGTACAGTGTGTACTGTCTGGTTATTACCTGAACCCGATGGTTAAATGCATCCATCACTGCAAGGCACTGGCCCAGTGCGCTGTGGTTCACTTGGACAACACCAGTTGGGAAATTGAACTCGCCAATTCCTGATCCATACCTTCCTATGGTGCTGAACTCGGAGAAGTCCTTACCAGTGATCTGCAGAGGGGGCATGGAGATGGACAGGAGAAATCAAGATGATTTAGAAATGGAAAATAAATTCTTTGGACCAGTTTTCGAGAAGACGAAAGGTTAATTCACGCTATAAGCAGTATTAGTGCCACAGGCATTACCATGGAAGTGAACATGTTTAGAGTTAAAACGGGTGTGTAATTCCAGAATCGATTCTCTGCTCCGGTCATCAGTAGAATTTACGGAAATAAGGGTAAGCGGCCAATAAACAAAGGTTAAGTAGTCACGTGGTGATACAATAGACACAGAAGAGTTGCTGATGAATGTTATAAAACTAAGTAAAAAGGCTAGTAAACAAGGTGGTGATTATACATGACAAAGTGTAGAAAGAAACACTCGTGTAAGGCTACTTCAAAGTAGTATATTCGTACGTGTGTGTGGGGGGGGGGGGGAGGGGGTGTGTTCAGGTGTGTGTGTGTGTGTGTGTGCGTGTGTGTGCATGTGTGTGTGTGTGTGTGTGCAGGGGTGGACCCAGGGGGGGGGGGGGGGGGGGTCGAACGAACCCCCTGTTGTTTTTCCGACCATAGTTCGGGTGTGATCACTAACCCATGCCCATGTGACGTGCACGCCCCATGCTATGGCCCAGTCGGCCCAAGCCAGATCGGTACGCTAGCTATGCAGCTTGGTAGATCTACATGACATTGTACTTTGTTGTGTAGAACGTAGATAATACAAAGTAAAGTAAATCTGCACTGAATATACAGCTACGCGTTCGCTTTCGGAGAAAGAGGGGCATGCATTTGTTGAGCTGCTGCGGAAACTTCGAAAGTAAGTTTCAAATACTAGTTTCTGAATAGTGGCCGTGCAGTGCTGTAATTGTCGTCGCGGCTCGTGCTTTTTGAGTTGTCTTAGAGTTCGTCGAAGCGTCTAAAGAGGCAGGTTCAAGACCAGCTGCCATTGAATTTTGGTGACACTCCAAAGAAAAGTGTAGCCACTAGTGTCGCAGGTAAAACAAAGAGCGAAACTTTGGAAATCACCTTCAAATTCACCGTCCCATCATCCAATAATCAAAATTTCTCCGAACTGGGGACAATTATGACTGAGACACGAAAGATGCAGGAAGCCTGCCATATGGAACCTTCTGTACAGTGGAGTCAACGTCAGGCGGCTCGGAGTACAATATTATGGACAATCATTACAGACGAGCTACTGGAGAAAGTACCAATCACCTATTCTGCAGCAAAGAAATTGAAAATTTCTTCCTGGTGCTGCGTGTCTTTAACAATGTTTTGTTTTAGCTGCAGAGTGTTGAAAATAGGGAAAATGAAGTTTCATTTGTATAGCTGGCATATTCAAGTACAGGATGCAATATACAGTACATGTGGGCTGTCGTGCTGTACCGATAACGCGAACGTGTGACCCTCTTATACCTGTGTATGTCATCAATGACTCATCATTTCGTCATTGTGGGTAGGGTGGGAAAAAATTGAACCCCCATTGGAAAAATCCTGGATCCGACCCTGGTGTGTGTGTGTGCGCGCGCATGTGTGTGTGTGTGTGTGTGTGTCCCCCCCCCCCCACTCAGCACAAGCTGCTATGGCTTCTGCTGTAGCATCGCTATCATCGCCTCCGGCGATGGGCGTCAAATGGTAAATGATGTGTGTGTGTGTGTGTTTGTGTGTGTGTGTGTGTGCATGTGTGTTCAGGTGTGTGTGTGTGTTTTGTGGGGGGGGGGGGGCTGTACACGTTGCCAGATGTGTCTGTTTCTTTGGCCTTAAATATCGATGTCGATAAGATAAAAATTCCTTGTGGCTGATAGGAACATCACACCATCTGACATCGGCAACATTGTTTTTGTGAAAGGGAAGGCAACAGAGGATTTGCCCCTATTCCTCTCCACCTTGGTTCTGTTGCTACACCGGTTTACTCGCTAGAAGAGAATTGCGCCGGCGCAATGTTGCAGTACACACTATCTTTTGCAAACTGTGATGTGTTTTGTCCACAAAACCTGTCCCTGTGCCCCAAATGACATCTAAACTTTTCCTGTATAGCCTTCATCCTAGTGTATAGTACTGAGTGCTGGACTCAGCTGAAAGCAGACCTTGAAACCAGGCATTCAACATGTTTTGGCCAGCATTGCACTGAGGGGCTAGGTCACCTTGTCAGAATGCCAAACATCCCAGATTTCCAATCAACTCCTGTTTGGACAGCTGCCCAATGCTTCTTTGAGATGTTGTCCAAGTAAGAAAAAAACAGGCGATGGGATGCAACTACTCATGACTTAAAAGCTAGGGACATCCCCATCTTTTGTCGGTCTGAGATGGCTGATGGTAGAATGCAGTGGTTTACGACGGTCATGAATTGGGCTTCTCCGCACTGACTGACACCACCAACAATGTCGATAGTCTGCTTCATTGTTCTGTTGATTATTCTTCTCCAAACTCTGCTACCTTGCTTGCCACACATGTCTGGAGGAGCAACACATTTCTATCTCCTTGCAATGTGGCTCAATCCTGTGTTCTACCTGGTATCTGCTCTATAAGCCTTTCATCGCTTATGGTCATGAAATGTCACAAGTTGGCAGTGTGTGCGTGTGGTTCTATGTGCACTTGAGAGGGAATGCATGTATGCAGGTATGTGCATGTTTTTGAGTGTGTATTCTGTGGGTGGGTGGTTGAGCGTGTGTGGGTGCATGTTAGTGTAAGTGTGTGTTTGGGTGTTAACGTGTGTGGGCCAATGTATGAAGAGGAGAGAGTGTGAGTGAAATAACAGTGGTGCTGCACAACAAATACAGGTTTTGCTCGTAACATGAGCCATTAGTTAGTAAGTGCCCATCATTGCAGCAAGAAAACCATTTCAATAAAATTGTATTACAAAGAGGTATTTACTTCTGCATGGGTTATAATGTGGGTATCCAATGACAACATAGTTTGTGTAAAATGTACATGTATGTGTAATTGTATGTTGTTGATTACTCAGGGGTCGTCTGTAAACACATGTATTTACTTAGAGAAGTCTAACAGGCGTTTGTGGTGGGTTCGCCTGCAAGGCGTATTTAAAAAAATACATTTCAGAGTGCATGCATACCATACCGCGTGTGTACATGTACATGATGTACTATACTGTAGTGGATATGGAAATCCGGTCGCACGTCTAGCGACCCCAGGGCGCTGGCCATGCAGCCGTGGGCAAACAGACCACACATGCGCTGGAACGCGCTGGTCGCATCGGAACAACATGACTGTGCACTGTTCTGTACGCGCTGAGGGCGCCGGCCCCGGTTAATCGACTGGATTTCCATGTCCACGACAGTAGCACTGCTACAGCTAGTACTGGTAGGCGTTGAGATGCACTACACTGCACTACACGCATCATGGCAGAGTAGACAGGGACACATGCACAGCCATACTCTGTACTCCCAGAAACATGCGCTTGCATGCAGTGACAGGCAGCTACCAGCAGACTTGTAGGTGTAAAACAGGATCCTTGGGCTTGGTTTCAGGTTCAGGTGCACATGTAGCCCATGACAGTATGACTCAGGTGCACTTGCTTTACATGTACATGCGGCCCTTTTAAGATTTGGTTTGTTATAAACGAAACCTGTTCGCTATAAAGGGTCAATTTTGTATGGTTTCAAACAGGGACATGGACAAGGGTTCGCTATATCACGAAATTCGTTAATATGCGAGTTCGTTATAAGTGGAGTCGACTATACTGTGTATGTGTTCATAGCATGGTGTTTATTATGAGTGGTGTTATCTACATTTGGGGGTGGGCGTTTCTGGGGGTGGGTAGGTCAAGAAAGAACCGCCTATTAGACGTCTCTAAGTAAATACATGTATTTACTTAGAGACGGCATTTCACTGTGTGACGGTTTCTATTTTGATTCTCGAGGCTTTTTTGAAGTTTTTCTGAGCAGCTGGCTTTACTGCATTGTTGATCAATTTTGCACGTAAAAGAGGCTACTGTTTACATGTAATCCTTACAACATGATTGGAACACCAAGACTATACCTGTAGTCGGTTGTTGCCAGTATCAGCAATGATCACTCGTTCATCATCTGTTACATGCACGGCTGTTGGCCAGTTGAACTGTCCACAGTTTGTACCCCTCTGACCAATCGTCTGCTTGAACTGGCCATAAACCCCATGTATCTAAGTGAATTGACAAAAAGGAATACAATTACAAATGTTAACACAACCATGCACCCATACATAGCCCAGATCCAAACATACATTGTAGTAAACATTTGGTTGCAGTTCTATAGTGTGAATCTAGCGAAAAGCTCGTCCAAAACTGTCAGTCACACCTACACACCCAATGTGCTGTCGGCCACCCCATTCCACTTGCACATCACCACCACAGCCAGGACAATTTAGTTGAGATATTGACTTTTCAGACCCTCCAGATAACTTTTTGGTCCAACATGGTGACAGAGCTCATCAGTGGAGGTTGTTGATAATGGTTGATTAAGATACAATGAGTGATTGATGTTGTATAGGGGAAAACTTTTACAATTTCACACGTTCTCCTTAGTGTGGCATGCCTTAGCAAACAAAGGGGTTAGGCGATAACCGACAGTTTTAACAGATGTGACAATACAAGCGTGCAGTGTTTGGACATTCAGCACTCGTATGTATGAGTGGCTATTGGCTACTAGTAGCACCTCTCATTGTTTGTTGATTTTGTACCAATTCTAGTACTGCAGACGACCTGAAAGCATGTCCCAGTAACGCACACTTGCACGATCTGTTATCACCTATAGCCTCAGTGTCCTATAGCATGCCTAACTTCGACGTAGAAAGCGCAGAATTGCGACTGTTTTACCCTATTATAACATTATCTCTTCACCCGGATCATCCACTATCACCAACTAACACTGATGAGCTCTGTTGGAGCAAAGCAGCTGCCTTCAGGGTCTGAGATATCAATATCACAATGGAAATGTCCTCGTTGCGGTGGTGATGTGAAATTGGAATGGCCCGGCCAAAAAAATATTTACGAGTGGGGGTGTCACAGGTATTCAAAGTCTTTTGTGATTTACAATGATCACCTTTCTCCAGTTTGATAGTTTAGAAAACCTGATCACTTCTGAAGAGAAATGACATTCTGCTTGTATCAACTTCTCAGCTTTTGTGTTCACTGGGTGTACAGGTTAACTCGATGGTGCAATAACGTAAAATTTAGAATGTTGAAGAATTCATCCAAGGGATTGTCTACTACTCTTTCAGACAGTCTTGAGCATCTTCAACCTGACCAATTGGGATCCTTCTTTTTCAATTCTACTAATGCATACACAGACCCTCCCGAGCAGGTCATCTATCAGAGTGACATTTATATATAAACTGTACTTGTCGGTTAGCATTGTACTGTGAGTTCAGTTACCTTTATTCTGCCGTTGTAGGAGTCACAGATGATCAGGTCACCAGCTTTGTTGGTTGCTATTCCCGTAGGAGAGTTAAACTGATCTCTCCCGCTGCCCTTGCTACCAAATGAGTACCTTGATCTGCGGATCTGTGTGTAATCACGCTGCAATACAGGAGAGCAGTAAGAACAACAGCAATCAACACTAGGACAATAGAGGGAGAAAGTAGTGATGTCAAACCTGGCCGGGTGGTCATACACTTCATACTTCGATTTCAAATTTTCATTGGCCTCATGTTTCGTATAAGGAGTAGATGATGGTATATACATCACCCTAAGGTGAGGGACCACATTTTCGACTATACAACCCTACAAAAATTGATCAGAATGGATTGCGCTATCAATCCTCCGGAATGTCCATGACAAATCAGTTTCAAGCACTAAGGACTAAACTAATATCATTTGTTGCATAAATAGTCACAAATACTCATGGTTTTGCCCTGCATAGTGAAACTCTGACTTGAACACACACCAGTGTTGTGTGTATGTAAACTATACTCAACTAATGCATGATGACGTCATACACGTACCACTATACACCCAGTCATGCAGGGCAACAGACTGTAGGAGAAATTTGATACACCGTTGCATAAACTTGTAAAAGTAAGCCTTTAAAAAGTAGCCTAACCTTCCGTGGTGGAGATGCAGCTACTACTGCTGCCGCTGCTGCTACTGATGCCGATGGTGACAACGTGTTTCTGGGCAAGGTAGACTGATCTGAGGCTGACCCTTGTCTGGGCACTCTAACCTGTGTGTGAGCTGAGGAAGCGCTGGATGACATCATCGGTGGTGTTGCAGAAGATGCACTGCGTGGTGATGGAGAGGACTGGGGAATAGAGTCACCGTTGGGTGAGGTAGTCGCCGTCAGACGTTGAGTACTGGCACTAGACGACTGTCTGGAGGCACGTGACTCCAGGGCAGCAATGCGTAAGTCCACTGCGGCGGAGCGTGAATCCACTTCAGCCAAGCGTGTATCGACTGCAGCAATGCGTGAATCCACTGCAGCCAAGCGTGAATCCACCGTGGAGTTGAGTGAAGTGAGAGTTGATGAGTGGGCACTGAGGTTAGTGTCGATGGTGGAAACTCTCTCCGTCAATGCATCCATGCCGTTCACTTTCTCTTCCACTGCTGTCACCCGGGTGATGGTTGCCTGCTGTTGTGTGGAAATCGTTTGCAGTTGAGTCAGAATGTCTGCAAACTGACTCAAATAGCGATCTGCGGACTAGACAAACACGAATAAATAACACCATCCACAAACACACACATACACATGCACACACATATTCACACACATGCACACACGCACACATATTCACACACAAACACACACATGCACACGCGCACACACGAACACACACACACACACACACACACACACACACTAAGGATTATTATGCTCTGCGTGCACCCAATTCAAGCGTTTGTACCTATGGATCTCAGAAAACAAAAAAATCCCGTGGTGTGTGGTACAACGAGACAATTTCACAAATCCGAAAGAAAGCATTCAATTATTTTGCAAGGAAGAATTCAAAATTGACGGAGTGGAGCAGTAATCTCTGTATTGAGTAGTGCTAACTGGTCACTGCTATTATGGATTTAGGAGTCTCGTCCGTAATTATCGAAAATAAAAAATTCGTCTCCGTCAAAAATTGTTTCTAACCCACCCACCCACCCCACCCGATTTTGTCCCGTTAATATTTTGTTTTTCCCAATGCCCAGCTAGAAAAAAGAACTCCTGACCCCAGAGTCACTGACTGCACCTGTGTCAGGTACATTGTACTAGTAGCTACTGTACTAGTTTGTTTTGTTTCTGGTTTTTGTTTGTTTTAGTTTTAGCAGGTCTACCAACGGCCATGCACGTCCTACAACTACATGTTCATCATACTGGTGTTTGCGACACTACGAGTACAGCCAGTACACTGCAAAGCCAGTGAAACAACTGTATGAAAGTCACTGAAAAAATATATAAATAAAAATATATGAAAAATTGACTCAGAAAAAACAAAAAAATTAAATTCCGCCAGCACTCCTGACCACCCACCCCCTTTTTGCATGAGGACAGATTTTTTAATTTTTTTAATTACGTACGACCCCTTATTAGTTATGGCTCTGATCCACTACTTTATGTTTTCATGTTACCATTCTGGATAAGGGACCTATGCAAATCTATAACCCCCCCCCCCCAGATGAAAACATAATTTCACTGGGCTATACTATGCATACTGCAGATGCACTCCACACCTATGTACACGCCACATGGCTGATGTCATAGGAACAGCCGGTCACCAGCCAGCATGTGATTGTGAGGCCTGTGCTTTTCAATACAATCATCTTGCGCACGTCAGTGTTTTGCCTTTTTGAAGTGTGACAGTCCAGACAGCCTGCGCCGCCTCCACTGAAATATCAGGGCCCTTATCTTGTGTAATATAATGTCATGCTGACCAGCCAGCTAAGACTTAGGGGGGCGTTCGAATTGTCTTCATCAACTGTTCGAACAAATGTTTAAAAGAGATTAGATGAAGTGTCCCATTAGAACGGTTACTGTCATTTCAGAGTCTCTCAGTTTCTCAGTGGAATTGTCATGGCGATGATGACGTCCGATCAGATCGACCATCTCCACGTACAACGTGACGTAGCTATTCCAAATTTTTCGGAACTAATCCATCTCTCCCATCGGATGAGATTGTGGAGTTTCGCGGAGTTTTGAGGAGTTCTTTTTGCTGAAGAGGCCTATAAGGCCACCTCTTCAGAAAAACGAATCTCCTGGAAAAGTCAAAGAGTGACAATTTGGCGAACGTGCCCTTAGAGTATGAGTGTGTACATAGGCAAAGCCAGGTCTAATGTATGCTCTGGTAGCTGCACCATTCAGGCATGCATCAGCCAGTATTTCCCATTTACATGTACACATTGCATGTATACCCAGCTAGGCTGTATGCTAACAGTACAGCACAGTGAGTACAAAGTCATGTTATACTATGTCAGTACATCCATACCATAGAGTGAGGTGAGATCTGCAGTAAGTGCATGTGAACATCAGCCGATGTGGGTCTAGATCCAGGATCATCATGCAGACACGACACGATTAGAGAATGCAGTGGATGATCCGAGCCCAGTCGATCCAGATCTGCTTTGCGTCGGCGACCCTCCGGAACTGATCTCCGCGTTCCATTCTCCAGCAGAACAGTAGCTTCAGTTGGGGAAGGTGGTCGTCCCACAAGCAGCGACAGCATCACCACTCCTAGAGAAAACACATCCAGTTTTTCGTCGTATGTTGTGCCCACTTGCAGGCTCTCTGGCGGCATAAAATAAGGCGTGCCGGGGCACCGTGTCAGAGTTGTCAAGTCTGCACCTTGACCACCGTGAAGAGAGCGGGCCAAACCTACATCAGCTATCTTGGCTCTCCCTGCCGTGATCAAGATGTTGTGGGGTTTCAAATCGCGATGCAAAATGTTCTTGCCGTGTAGAAAACGCAAACCTTCCGCCGTGTCGACAAGATACTGAAGGCTTTGCGCGAATGGCTCTCTTGGAACAACTCCAATTCGATCACCTAGCGAGCCGGCCATCAGTTCTACCACTATACACGGAGATTGATTGGGAGCAATGCCGATCCCGAGCAGTCGCACAATTCTTTCATGCTGCAGTCGCCGCATGACTAGGCACTCAGTGCCGAATCGCTGCAGAAGAGCTGCACGCCCGACATTGCCCTGTTGGAGTAAAATACTATGTAAGACCTTCACAGCAACAGGGAGACCCTCCAACTCACTTGTATAGACAGTGGCATCCGAGCCACGGCCTATCTCGGGTTTGTTCAGGTCAACTTGGACGCATCCCAGCCAAATTGAGTCTGGGACACCAAGTATCTCTTGGAGCTGAGTCTCAAAGTTGAACCTTGCCATTGCAATATAATAGTGTAACACACAATCGTCTTGCTCTCGCAACTGTGTGTTTGATTGTGTCTGCGAGTGTTCAGCACCTTGTTATGGCGTTAGACGTACACTGCATTGAGTGTGTGTGTGTGTGTGTGTATGTGTGTGTGTGTGTGTGTGTGTGTGTGTGTGTGTGTTTGTGTGTGTGTGTGTGTGTGTGTGTGTGTGTGTGTGTGTGTGTGTGTGTGTGTGTAGTCTGTAGACTACAGACTGCTACAGACTGAAGTTTAGCCCCGTTCCGCACTGGGGTATGCATTCCCGTTCTCACCTCCCTGTTTGCAGTCTACAAATACAATATCATGTACAGGTGCAGACATGAAGAGCTAGCTGTCTCTCGCCTCAACAGTGGGTGAACGTTTTGATCGCAATCGGCCACCGGTACCTCAAACGGCGCAGCCGCGTGCCGAAAAGGCCCCATTCGTAAGCATTTCGGAAAGCAATCCTCGCAATCCTCCAGTAGATCTACCCAGTGCAGTACCGCATAAAAATGAAGCTGTCATGGATCGTGGACAGCTAGTCTGCCTGGCTAGCTGGGCGGTCGACCACAAACTGACTGGCGAGTGGCGAGTAGGCAGATACATGTATGCCTGTACATCTGTTGACGGCATCAAACAAAACAAATCCACAATACAGGGAACGAAACCATGGAAACTGTTGGTTGCTCCCTAGTATAGTCAGATCCCTACGGACCCTAGCCTGAAGATCGTGCTATCCACTGAGTCTGTCAGTGTCAGTGAACTGTCACCTGGTCACTGACTTGGCTTGACACTCGACGCCAGTTGACGGCTTGACGACTGCCATGCCATCCAAGGCACACGCCATACCCATGGAGCCTTCGACCGGGCAAAGGTGCAAGAAAGCACCAGTCCCTGTTCAATGCACAGTCAGTGTTTTGTGGAATTTATCTCTCATCAGTTGAGCTTGAGTAGGCTGAGAAAGACTGCGCTGGAAGACCACTACATGTACTTGTCTTTCATCGTGCTCTCCAGGCCATAACATCATCAAGGAATCAAACAAACTTTACCAGGTGTTGCGAATCCAGCGCTAATCAATCCAAAGATACCTCGCGAGTTACTAGAGAGGTTGCGCACAATGAAATTTCGACCGGCCGGGTTCGAGTAACGAAAGTTGCTCCGAAGATCCGTCCAAACTTGACCGAAACAGAGCAGATCTTCGAAAATACTTTTCGTTACCTGGAGTACTAAAATACTGATATTTTACAACTCTCTGTCTTGACTCTTCGCCCCCGCGCGGCTGCCGCGTCGACGCACTACGAAAAAAGTTCAAGCGCTGTGCCCAACCTCACGGTTTTCTAATATTCCTTACCTTTCGTTAAAAAATATTCGTTACGGCGCTACGAATTTCCGCTGTGCGCAACCTCTCTCTTGACTTGCTTGTGTGAGGGAAGGGGCTAAAAGAGCATACAAGAGGGAGAAAACTCAAGTTTTTAAAGTGATGTTAGAGTAATTCATCTCATAGTACAGACTATGCTACATCATCAGCAAATCAAGTACTGGTACATTTAGTCTCTTTGATGCATAATTCTAGTATCATGCCAAACAAATGTTCGGCTAGTAGCCCTTTCCCAAAGGTGCTCCCCCTTTTTTCGCCCTTTTTGGCCCTTTTTGGAAAAGCCCGTTTCTTTCGCCCTTTATTGCGTTTTTTGGTGAATATCGCCCTTTTTGAGCTCTTTTAACTGAAAAAGTGCTAAAATCTGTTTGCTCATGCTTGCGATCACAGTTTCCGAGTGCTCGATGGGCCCGGGCCTTGGCACGCCGCTTTTTTGGGGGCAACAAGTTAGTTGATGAAGCTTGTACACAATGCTGTAAAATGTGGGTTTTTTGAACTTTACTTCCTGTTTTGCCTTTCTTGGACCCATAAATGGAAGAGTGCGTATTCATTTCTCAGCTTGTGTTCATATTTGAACATGTATCATGGCTATGCTTCACTGAAAAAAGAGCACTTTTGCCTTTTTTCACTGAAAAAAGAGCACTTTTTCAGCATATTTTGAGGGACGCGAAAAGCACTAAGTGCGAATTAAAAGAGCACCTTTGGGAAAGGGCTATCGGCTAGGAGCAGGAGTGAGGAGAAACCAGTAAGGTAGACCTATATCAACAACATAATTTTAAAAGGTGAAAGGGAACTACACCGAACAAAGTTACACCATTGTTTAAGCAACATGAACACACACTATGTACGTACGGTATATCTAATCGCCACACACACACGCACACACACACACACGCACACACACACGCGCACACACACACACGCACACACACACACGCACATACACACACACAAACGCACATACACGCACACACACGCATGCACACTACACACTCACGCACAGACGCACACACACGCAAACACACACACACACACGCACACACACACACACGCACACACACATACACACACACACACGCACACACACACACACACGCACACACACACACACACACACACACACACACACGCATGCACACTACACGAATACACGTAGTCTCAAACATGCTCATACACGGACGTGACGACGTGTGCAAAACAAGAAGAAGCGAAAATGTGCCTTGGAAACGACATGTGAGGAGTGGTGGGAATACTATGACAATGAAGGTGAGATTCTGGCACTAACCTGCAACAACCCTACAACATTGCGCTGTTTTATTCTTGACATTGCTAAAAGCAATAGAATGTGCAGGAATGGACTCGGATGGAGAGCCAAGGCCGGATTAATTTAAACAAAAGAGAAAGATTTGGCTAAAAGGGAAAGGACCAAGAAACTACAAGTTAAGCTACACTATCCACTATAACACCACCAGTTACTAAACAATCAGCCCATGCGATAACATTGCACGACACTGACCGACGGTACTGACGTTCTACAACTAACTGGCTAACAGCTGTAGCCCATCTTGAATGCGCACTCCAACAGCCTTGCATCTTGGAAGGTTCTAAGCATCATAGTTATAGAATACAAACATAAGGAGGGGGACTTGCAACTTGTAGTTCCTTGCTCCTTTTTCTTTCTTATAAATTCATCCTTGGCTCTCCATCCCAGTCCAATTCTATACAAGGCGAAAGAGAACATGGTGAAACACAAACAATAGAAATAGGATTCTAATCATGCTAACAAAAATTCGGATTCAACTCTCCAGGAATCAACGTTGTGCTGAGGAACAAATCAGAGCGAAGGAACTACTTCGAAGTATAGTATTTACAGAAGGCAATGCTGCAGATGTAACACATACATGTATAAAAAATACTTGAGGGGCTGAGATATCAAAGTGTGATTTCCCACAATGAATATACGAGCAACACAGCCTTCAAGGAGTACCAACAGCGAAAGTCGTGCATTACCTACGAGAAGGTGATAATCAAAAGCCGTATTGAATCAAAACTCACAGCAAATTTGCTGTATGTGTCCAACTTGTATTCATAAAAAAATATCTTCATCTCTTGTAGGATCCAGGGAAATAGTCTGGGGAGATGGCATCCGTGCTGCCTGATTGTCTGCTAATTTGATGAAGGGAAGTTAGGTAACGTGCCATACCAAATGCAGGTGGGAGCAGGTTCCCAATTCGCAGCTATGATACCTCCATGGAGGCAATAGAACCTTTTAAAAAGAAGGTGCATTTAAAACATTTGGATCGGGACGAGGTTACAGGGAGAGATTTCATCATACCAACACCAAAAGACAGGGATATGACTGAACAGATGCATGGACATCCACAGTTTTATGGGACGCACAGACACACGGACACTGGGACAGGGTTATAGACCAATGCACCCACTTGTGCATGTACAGGGGACATGAACAGATATAGGGTCAGGGACATGAACAGATACAGGGTCAGGGACCTGGACAGATACAGGGTCAGAGACCCAAACAGATACAGGGTCAGAGACCTGGACAGATACAGGGTCAGAGACCTGGACAGGTACAGGGTCAGAGACCTGGACAGATACTGGGTCAGAGACCTGGACAGATACAGGGTCAGAGACCTGGACAGATACAGCGTCGGAGACCTAGACAGATACAGGGTCAGGGAGATGGACAGATACAGGGTCAGAGACCTGGGCAGATACAGGGTCAGAGACCTGGACAGATACAGGGTCAGAGACCTGGACAGATACAGGGTCAGGGACATGTGCATGCACTGGTAAAGGGACGTGGACAGATACAGAGTCAGGGATACGGACTGATACACGGTCAGGGACATGGACAGATACAGAGTCAGGGATACGGACTGATACACGGTCAGTGACATGGACAGATACAGAGTCAGGGATACGGACTGATACACGGTCAGGGACATGGACAGATACAGAGTCAGGGATACGGACGGATACACGGTCAGGGACATGGACATGCACTGGTAAAGGGACGTGGCTAGGGGCAGGGACAAGAACAGAAACAATTGGGAACCCGTATTCTGGAGAGTGCTGGTGAAGCGTCGTTGCAGGCAAGTGAAGTGAAAGTTGAAGAGAGTTGCTCAAAGGATGAAAATCATAACTTATAACAGTGCTTTTACAAGATACAATCTTGCTAACTAGAGACCAAAATGAATATACATGTACATGTGATCTATACGCAGATCTATGTAGATCTACATGCAGTAACTGCACTTGACCAGACCCGGCTCTGACCCGACTGCAAGAGTTGTGCCGTATATCTACGTGTACGTGTGCCCGGCTGGTTTGAAATCCTAGATCAGATACAGAATGCATGTCTATAGAAATGAATAAGGCAGTAGATATGCATACGGTACAGTTGCTGGAGTATTCATAACATGAACATGTTTAGACAGTGTGCTGAGAAGAGAAGCCGATATTCAATACACTGGTATATGTGCATTGAATTTTGTTTGACATACACATACACCCCCCCCCCCCCCACACACACACACACATACGAACACACACTCACATACACACACAGCCCTATGGCCGTCCGTCAAAGCTTCATC